ATCGGCGCGGGATCTCCCTCCCTGCCGACCGGCCATAACTGGGGGAGCTGTGGTCCTTACCGCCCTGGGGGAGCCCATCGCATCCACGATCTCTCGAGAGGAGGAGGAGGAGGAGGAGGAGGAGGAGGAGGAGGAGGAGGAGGAGGAGGAGGAGGAGGAGGAGAAGAGGAGGAGGAGGAGACGAGGAGGAGGAGGAGGAGGAGGAGGAGGAGGAGGAGGAGGAGGAGGGAGGAGGAGGAGGAGGGAGGGAGGAGGAGGAGGAGGAAGGAGGAGGAGGAGGAAGGAGGAGGAGGACGCCCCAGGGGGGTAAGGACCACGGCTCCCCCAGTTGTGGCTCGCCTGCCCCGGCACGCAGAGCACGCCAAAGGCCGGCGGACGGAGGGGCGCCGCCGGGGGGCCCAGGGCAGGTCCAAGAGCTCCGCGCGGACTTCCAAGAGATGTACGTTTGTTCAGGTGCTCCCTCCTCGGTCAGAGCCGCACCGCTCCGCAGGAGTGAAGGGGCCCTGGCACACACAACTAGATACACACGAATAAAACCATTCCCCATATTTCAGATGCTCCCTCCTCGGTCAGAGCCGCAGCGCTCCGCAGGAGTGAGGGGGCCCTGGAACACACAAGCAGATACACACCAAGAAAACCATTCCCCATAGTTCCCCATATTTTTTTCTGTGCTTGTGTCTTCCCCCCCACTTCCCATATTTTCCCATATTCGCTGGGGAATCGACGATGAGTTGTGTCTGTGTGATTTTTCCCCCTCCTGAAGGAGGCTCTTCGGAGGCAAGGACAACAGCGCCAGAGGATGCGCGGAAGATCGGGAGCCCGAGTGCCCGGCTGCCAGGCCAGGGGGGCCCCGACGTGACCCGTCCGGGCGGTTGCCCGCCTTCTCTGAAGGGGCCCTGGGACACACAAATAATTACACACAAAAAAACATATTCCTCATATTTTCCTATATTTTCTGGGTTTTTGTCTTCCCCACCACTTCCCATATTTTCGCATATTTTCCTGGGAATCGACGATTAATTGTGTCTGTGTGTTTTTTCCTCTCCTGATTCTCCTCCTCTGCACGGGGAAGAACAACTGCATCAGCACAGGCTTTCGGAGGTCCGCGCGGATTTCTTGGATCGGCGCTGGAGCTGGACCTGCGAAAGTGTGTGTTTATAGCTGAAAAGATTAGATGCCGATGCCGCTGGCTGGCCCTCGTCGCGACGGCTGGACTCGCCTCCAGTTCCTGGTCAGAGAGCACCCAGGAAGATTGCCGGTAATAGCGGTGTCGGTATGGGTTGGCTTCCCTCTGGGGCACATTATCGAGCCCCAGGAGCTTTCAAAAGCGGATCCAGGCGAAAAACTGGCCCGGGGAGAGAGAGGGACTTCTAGGGCCATGCGTTGAATCAAACATATCGTTGGATGTCTGTGAACGAGGGGGGGCCAGGGCGAAAGAAGGTGCGCTTTGATCCTATGTTTTCACTATTTGCGATTTCGCCCGCGACATGCCCCGCCTCTCCCCCCTCCCCCCCTGGTCACGTCACGACTCGTGCTGGCGCCGTGTGGGAATTAGCCATGCTTAGGCACTCCCAGACGGCGCCAGCGCGATATGTGACGTGACCGGCCCGCCCCCTCCGGGAGATTAAAAACTGTCTCCTTTCGTACACCTCCGCGGCCCCCTGGGGCGCCTCCCCTTCCTGCCGTCCTCGATGCCCCCCTCCGAGACGCCGGAGGCCTCAGCGGCGACGGGTCTCGTCCCAGCGTGCTGAGGTTAGTGCACGAGTAAACTCAGCATTCGGCCCCCAGTGCCACTCCGACTGCTGACGCAGTTGCATGGGAGAGCAGGGATAGAAAGGCCCAACCTCTGGCGAATCATGAGGTACGACGGCGGAGCGCGGACGGCGATCAGCACGAGTATCCAACCGGCGCGTGTCCAGGGGACCGCACCTATGAGCCACTTGAACAGGTAAGCTGGAGAAAGTGTTTGAAGTGGAAGTTCAATGTGAGTTGAACTTACTCCTTTGCTGACTGCTTGGGGCTGGAACGAATGAGGAACAATTCAGACATGCTGGGCAGGCTGGAAAGATTTGTTGTAAACAACTTGCCACGGCGGAGAAAGAGAAGGCCCGTCCCCCGCCAACCTCTTCAGCTTCCATGTGCAGGGGCTCTGTGTGAAATCCTTGCGCGCAGCTTCTGAGATCCCCGCCCGTATCTCACGCAGCTTCCAGCAGGAGGAGAAGCAGGGAGGACGCGAGGGGAAGGGAGGACGGGGCAAGAAAAGGGAGGGCGCCGGGCAAGTCGAGATATTTCTGAGAAGTCTCGGCCGTGACAAACAAGGCATGAAGTTGGAAAAACGTGTGGCGCTCGCCAGATAGGAACGGAGGATCAGGTAATCCGGGAAGTCAGCCTGGACGGACCACCCTCGCTTGTACCTTCGATGATCCGCCACCTTGCCACAGGCACTAGTCAGGACGAGAACGACGTGATGATACGATTTGTTCACGATGCGTTCAAGGAGTTCTGGAGCATCTAGCGGCCCTCGCCTCTGGAGTCCGCGCTGAGACCGAGAACGTGGAAATCCTGGAATGCATCGTTCTTACTGATTATTCCGCCTCTGCCTATTGAAGTGCCTGTTTGATCCATCCTCTATTCAATGTTAACGGATCGGAATACGCTGAAGGGCCACGGCGACCCCAAGTATCGCTGCTCCCGGGTGCTCTCGGGTGATGGTTGCCTGATAATCGGCCCCTAACCAGAAAGAAACAGGACTGCCCAGGTTGGACATGAACGGACAAGTCTCTTCGAAATCCCGAGCCACGTCGACATCGCAGAACGGGGGGGGGGGGCTGGGAAGGAGCATGCCCCTCCTCGACGAAGAACCTTGCCCCAGTCTGTGGCCACCGCGATCGCCGCGGCAGCCTCCCACACCGACCTCGAGGCGCGCTTCGGGGTCGGACACCACGCAACGAGGTGATCTGGGGGCCTGCTGCGCGACTTTGAAGGGGCCCCGGGGCACATGAATACGTGGACACAAATATAAAAGGATTCCCCGTGTGTTCCCAGATGTTTTGGGTTTTCGTCTTCCCCCCCCTTCCCATATGTTCCCGTCTTATCCTGGGAGTCGAAGATGACTCGTGTCTGTGTTGTTGTTCCCCTCCCGAGAGCTCTCGAGGCGAGCGTGCGCCAGGTGGGTCCCAAGGGGTCGTCTTCGGGGACCGGGGGAGGTCGGCCCGAGCGCCCCCGACGGGGCTGCCGGACGAGCTCGGCAGGCTCGCACCTCCAGCTGACGAGGGAGGGGGCCCTGGGACACACAGAAACAGACTCACACAACTAACAGGATTCCCCATAGCTCCCCCTATTTTCTGGGTTTGTGCCTTCCCCCCACCCTTCCCATATTTTCCCATATTCTTCTGGGAGTCGACGATGCATGGTGTCTGTGTGTGTTCTTTGTGTTTCTCTCCTGCATGAGGGGCGTCCATGACAGCCTGGATGGGCAATCGCATGCGAGCCCCACCCCTGCAGCTCACATCTCTGGAACGCTGGCAGGGTGTGCAGAGTTCGAAGGAATGTCCCCAGCCAGTCAAACCCCAGCGGGGTGCCCGACTCGATTGGGCTCGCAGGGGTCAGGTTCGCAATTGGTCGCGGACCAAGGCAGCCACTCTAATTGGAGGCCTCCTGGATGGGGTCGGAGTAGATGGGGTCGGAAGATCTCGCCGCATCGCCGATACATCGGCGATGCATCGCCGATGCACTGGATACGTCGGCGATGCATCGGCGACGTGGGCGTGGAGAAAAGCGGGCTCCGCATCGAGCCGCATCGCCGATGCACCGGCGATGCGGCGCGACCCTCCGACCCCATCTACTCCGACCCCATCGAGGAGGCCTCGATAGGATCGCCCCGAGGCGACTTCCCCCAGCAAAGACCAGTGGAAAGAGGCGGCACGGCAAAGTCTCCAAGGCGGCCCCGACGAGGGGGGCTCTAAGCGGGGGCGAGCGAGCGAGCGCGCCACCGATGCGGAGCATCCTCAGGGCCACCGGGGGCCAGGGGAGGGCAGCCGCGGCCTCTGCACGAGCTGCTGCCGCATGTGGAAGGCATGCGTGTGCGCTGCCTGCCAGACCTGGAGATGCATGGAACCTTGAGGAAGCAAGGGGAAATCCTGTAGTCTGAGGCCTCGTGTGTGCGCGGTGGCGTACAGTTGCGTGTTGTGTGCTCATTCGTGTGTGTGTGTGTGTTGGTTTAGTTGTTGGTGGCGGTAACTATCATGCCTCGGCCAGTTGATGACGTCTCGAACAATGTGGCGTTATGCTGTTGTCCTGTTGTGCTGGTCGGTGGGGGAGGTGGGTGTATAGGTACGGTCTGCACTGCCGAAAGAAGGTGCTGAGGTCGTCGTCCCACCTTTTGTACTAGCCACGGTCACTCTCATGCCTCGACCATTTGATGACGTCTCGAACATTGTGTAGCAATGTGGTGTCATGTTGTTGTCCTGTTGTGCTGGTCGGTACGGGAAGTGAGTGTACGTCTTGGTACGGTTTGCACTGCCTGAAGAAGGTGCTGAGGTCGTCGTCCCACCCTTCGTACTGGGCCTGGTGTTGTCGTAGTCCGCGCTGTCGATGGTTGGCATCCAACTGCCAGTGCAATGCACGCCATGTCCCTGGGCCTGGTGTTGTCGTAGTCCGCGCTGTCGATGGTTGGCATCCAACTGCCAGTGCAATGCACGCCATGTCCATCTGTTTCGCTCGTGGATGGCCCCGAGTGGACCTCCAGATCACGGGTTAGGAGCCCGCCCCAAAGATGGGCCCCAAGACCACCAAGAAGAAGCCCAGATGTCACCTAGGCGAACATGAAGGCCCCCCAAGATCGGGGAACGTCAACCGACCACCACAACGACTCTGGCCGGGGCCCGCATTGGGCCCAAGATCGGTGTATTGGCCTTCTTGGCTTTGCCAGGGATGTAGACACCGATCCTGGGCGCAGGATCAGCCCGGCCACGATCAGTGACACGTGGTCAATGGATACTCCCCGACACGAGGCCCCACCTAGAGGTCCCGAAAAGGCCAACAAGAGCCAAGAAGACTCCAAGAAGCCTTCGAGGAGCCCACATCCCCGCGGCTGGGAATGCGCTGCGGCCTTGCACCGTGCCATGCCACCCTCGCTCGGACGTGCAACAGGCACACCAGAAGGGCAGGTCAGACCAGCACGGCAGATCAACAAGACAGACCAGTTGCGTGATTCTCCTCGCTTCCTCCTCGTGAATGCTAAACAGCACGATTGATAACCCCTCGCGCGTCATTGCTCACAGCTCGGGCACGGCGGCAGGATGACCGAAGGCCACCAAATGTACAAAGTTATGCACCCGCCTATGTCGCAAACGCCACTTAAACTCGGCGGACTGGGTCCTCGGCATGTTGAGGGGCAAGACAGGGGGGCCATCTTGGGGGAGAAGCATCAACCTGGAATCGGCCATACATCGCCGATGGTTTGGCGATAGACACCCGACAGCATATGCGTAGTCGCCGATGGTTTGGCAATAGGCACCCGACAGCACATGCGCACGTTCCTGGACGGGGTGGGGCTATCAGACGCCTATCGGCGATCATTGGGCGATCTGAGGTCGATGCGCTCCCCCCTCACCCTATTACCCCCCGACCGTTGCCCCCATGTTCTCGGGCCCAGTTCTTCACCCCGAGTCGTTCTCGCACCTCCGGTGCCTGCCGAGGACCCCAAGGGGGCCGAGAAGCGCAAAAACTTCCAGGGGCCTCTCCGTGGGCGCGTGCGGAATGCCCGCCAGCACCATGCCCGATGTGCGCCCGTGACGTGCTGCCCTGCGCGCGGAGCAGCACTGCGCGCGCGGGAGAGGTCCGCGCCGTCACCTCCGGCGCTCGTCCCGGACACAGCAGGCAGCAAGCGGCTGATGGAGCGGCCAAGCAGCGGAAACAAATCCAGGCTGCCCAACGGCAGGTCCAAGCTCTCCGCGAGTCTGCCTGCTGCTGGCGGCGGCGCACGCTTAAGTGCTGCCCCTGACGCAGCCGTGAACGAGGGCGGGCGCTTCTGGATGAACCAAAAACGCAGGGGCCCCTCTCCACGGCGCGCGGAGCGCGGCGGCCAGCGCCAGAGGCGCCGCCAGGGGGCCCAGCGCTAGTCCAAAAAATTCGCGCGGAGCTCCCGAGCTTATGTTTATGCAGTTTTTCTCCGACTCCTCCAGGACTGAGGGGCAAGGATAGGAGGGGACCAGCTCGGAGGCGGGTAGCCATCGGCCTGGAGTCGGCGATGCATCGCCAACAGATGGGCGGTAGACCCCCGATGGCAAGTCCGCACGGTCCTGGGCAGGTTCGGGGTATCGGACTCCTGCCGACGATACGTGGGCGATTTGGAATCGATGCGTCCCCCTTGAGACTGTCCCCCTTGGGGGGCAGTTTCTGAGAGGCCTTCGCCAGGACGGTTTGAAAACTAGTGAGCCCGATCAAGGGGCCATTAAAGTAGATCCAAATTCAGCCTGGCTGGCATCAGGCCAGATCAAGCGGGATGGAGCGGGATTACGCCGGATTGAGCGGGACGGCACTGGATGAAGGAGGATTCAGCCAGATTGGGCCGACTCTTCGACCAGGGACATACCAGCGCTGATTCGGATTGTACCCTCCCAGTAAGCGCATCTGCCCCTAACCATGCCCCAATATTGAGTCGGAGTAGATGTGGTCGAAGGATCGCGCTGCATCGCCGCTCCATCGCCGATGCATCGACCATCAATCGGCGACGTCGGCGATGCATCGGCGACGTCTACGAGACCTATGTTGCTTCACATCAGCAATTTGGCCCCTGCTGACTTTTTTCAAAATAATATATTGGGATGAAACGCTGCCGCTGGATATATCGAGCACAGTTGATCACAACACAAACGCTCCTGCGATCCCCGCCAAAATGGCAAGAAATGGCAAGCTCAGATCCGCATGGCTACATTGCAACCGAACCGCTTGACCACCATCTCGACCGAACTGGCGGAATTCGACCACGCGTCCGACAAAATACGTTCGACGAGGGATGCGCTGCACAATGCCCCGGCCACGGGCAGCGCTACGAGGGAAAGCGGGCCCTTCGATGTGTCACTTTCAGCGCCCGTGAAAGTGACACCTCCCAGGGCCCACTTAAAGAGCACCAGAAAGGCTCCAAGAAGGCCCCGAGAAGGCCCCAGGGCGGCACCAAGAGGGCTCCCAGAGGGACCCAAGAGAGGCCCCAAGAAGGGCCCAAGAGGGCCCTCCGCGGTGTCACTTTCAACGCCCGTGAAAATGACACCTCCCAGGGCCCACTTAGGGCCTCAGAAAAGCTCTAAGAAGGCCCCGAAAGGGCCATAGAGAGCCGCCCTGGGTTCAACTCCGCGTGGCGGAGTTGGAAGCGATAACTTCAATACCCTGCTGGAGGCCTCTTAGGGGCCCTAAGACGGCACTGAAGAACCCCATCGGGGCTTTTTCAAAGGCAGAGGAGGGCGCAAAAAGGGGCCTCAGTGAGCCCCTGGTCTAACTCCACCTGGCGGAATTGGAAGCGATATCGCCCGGCGCCTTCATGGAGCCGCTCGGAGCTTCCAAGACGGCTCCAGAAGGCCCCAGGAGGGCCCCAAGAGGATCGAACGACGATTCCTGGAAGTGCACCAGTGAGACCCTTGTTGACCTCCGCCTGGCGGAGTTGGAAGCGACAATTTCCAGTGCCCTCTTGGGGCCTCTGGGGGGCCCCTCAGAAAGCTTTGGGGAGCACAGTGAAGGCCTTCGCAGGGCCGCGTGAGAGCCGTACCAGGGCCGCATGTGTGCGCGGATGGGGGCGACGAGTGCTGACGCTGACGAATATGAGAATGATGAGGGCGATCAAGGCTGGCCCGAAACAAATCCTGGCGCCATTGCAGGCCGCCGATTATCGGCCACGCCGCCAGGACGACGCCAAGCAACAAAACGACACCAACCAACAAACCGACACCAACCAACAAACCAACAAATCGACACCGGCCAACAAAAGGACACCAAGCAACAAAACGACACCAAGCAACAAAACGACACCAACCAACGAAACGACACCAACCAACAAAACGGCACGAATCAACAAAACGGCACTGACCAACCAAACGACAAATCACTTCACGACACCAATGAACAACGCGAAATCCACCGACCGCCAACCAAGCACAAAATCAACCGACACAACGAAACCAACCCATAGAGCCAGACCAACCACTGGATTCGTGAGTCGGGGTAGTCATGGAAGTGAGCCGCTGCAGCCCGCGGAAGCCATTAACAGTGACCAGAGCACCGCAATGCAGCAACGTCCCCGGGCGGCGGCGGGAGTCTCGGATCTCCCGCGGGACTGGAGCGTAGCGAGTTCGTCCTGGGTCCGGTTTAGTGAAGTGAAGAATTTCGGGGTGCTTGCATGGCAAAAACCTTCACTTCACTAATCTGGGGCCCCTGGAGCCCCAGGGCGTTTCAGGTCCCCTCGCTGTCTGGGTAGTCCAGGGGGCGCAGTGGCGGCTTACCAGAGGCCCTGTTCCCTAGCCTCACTTGCTTTCACCCGTGGTGCTCGACGGCCGTCTCGGAGCTGTCTTGTGGCGGTCTGGGGCAATCCCGAAGCCTCTTGGAGCCATCCCAAGGCCCCAAGGCGCCACCAATGGGGGCCCCAAGAGAGCTCCCAGAGGGCCCCGAAAGGCCTACAACAGATTGCACGTTCGCGCGAATTCTTTGTACCACTTTGGGGGGTCCCTCTTGGGGCCCTCGGGGAACGTTCTTGGGGCCCTCCGAGGGCCCACTGGGGCCCCGGGAAGGCCCCAAGAACGCTCCCAGAGGGCCCCAAGAATGCTCCAAGAGGGCCCCAAGAGGACCCCCACAAGTGACAAAAACTATTTGCATGAGGGTGCAACTTACTCGGCGCCTCTTGGGGCGCTCTTGGAGCCGTGCTGGGCGCCACTCGTGGACGACATGGGCTGGGCGACGGCATGTGGACCCTGTCGCTTGGGCCATCGGGGGTGCTCCCCAATGGGGCCACGAAGCTTCTGAGCGTATGACGGAATGGGCTGGGCGGCGGCCTGTGGGCCCTGCCTGTGGGGCCGTCGGTGTAGCTCCCCGTGGGGCCACGAAGCGTGTGAAACGTATGCCGAAATATGCTGGGCGGCGGCCTGGGAAACCTGCCGCTGGGAACCTTTTTTTGGTGGAGCTGCCTATAGGGGCACGAAATGTTCGAGGGTGTCATCAATGTGGCCTGGGCGACGGCATGTGGACCTTGCCGCCGGGACCTCCGATGAGCTCCTCATGGGGACACGAAGCGTCTGAGGGGCGTGCCGACATGGGCTGGGCGGCGCACTAAGGACCCTGCCGATGGGGCCTTCGGTGGAGCACCTCACAAGGCCACGAGACTTGCGGGGGATGTGGCGAAGCAGAGACGCGGGGGAACAAGGGGGGTGTTTTGATGATGTTGATGAGGATGGTGGTGGTATTGATGATGGAGACGACGAGAATGCTGATGATGCTGATGATGATGGTGATGGCGACGATGACGATGGACGATGACGACGGGGACACGCGGAGAGCAGGGGCAGATACGCGAAGAGGGAGGACGAGGGAGGGGGCCGGAAGGAATGACGCGGGGCGGTGTCTCTTCAAAACGAAGAACCAACACTGCAATATGGTAGGAAATTTCTGGACGACCCCCCCCCCGTGGCGCGGTCAATGTCCGCGACAGCATCGCTGGCACTACGAACGAAATGATCGAACTCTTCCTGCGACGTTACCCGCGGGGTGGATCAGCCAGGGATGGGGGTCGAAACCGCCCCAGCGCAAAGCAAATGTACAATCCTGAGAAAACCCCAGCCCACATCAACCGATCCGCAACAAGCACGCAAGCCTTTGACGACCCCAACGCACGTGACATCGCATAACGCGACGCGCCATCGAAAACGTTCGACGCGCGGCCTCGGAATGACATCGGGCTTCATGGAACGTCGAATGGAAAACATGAAAAACCGCCCTGTGGGCTCCGAGACCCAAAATTACTGATGTGAAGGATTTCGGCTCGTCGAACGTCGGCGTGGAGAAGATCTGGCTCCACATCGAGCTGCATCGCCGGTTCATCGGCGACGCGGCGCGATCCTCCGACCCCATGAGCTCGGACCCCATCTGTTAGGAGGCATCTACTGGGAGGTCTTCGTCGGAAGGATTCAGGAGGATTAAGCCCCAATGGGGCGCTGTTACGCCAAATTGGGCCTCGCGTTAAGCGGGATTAAGCCAGATTAGGCGGGATCAAGCCGGATTAAGCGTGATTAAGCGGGATCAAGCCAGATTAAGCCGGGTTTTGGACCAGGGCGAAATCAGAATCTGGCCTCCCAGGAGTTGCATCCGAGCATCTGGGAGGCCAGGCCCACTTTCGGTGCACGTCCCCGCCCATGCCGGGGCTGTGCGTCCCGAGAAGTGCTGACGCCTGGGCAGAGCCGCCTCTACCATGAGGTAGAGCATGTCCCCCTACAGGCCGATTGCGGAAGAAATGCAACAAAAAATCAAAATATCCCAAACCATCAAAAATGGTCTGAAAATGGACCCCCAGACTAATTTTAAAGTATTTTTGAATGTCCCTCCTGTAGAGGGACACGCCCGACTTAACTCTACCAGCAGGGGATGACAAGGCTGGTCCCTCAAGGCTCCTGCGTCACAGGCCCTCGCCTCCGCCACTGCTGCTCATATCCGCCACCCGTGACCTGCGGCACGAGTTGGAATGTAAAGACGAGGCCAGGATAGGACCAACATCGGGCCAGGATAGGACGGGCATCTCTGAGATCCGGGCGCCGCGGCCGCGGCGCCCGGGTCTCAGAGCCCGGATCGAAGACGCCTACGGCGAATCACCGCCGCCCCCTGCCTTTTTGGAAGCGCCTATGTGGCCGAACGTTGAGGCCAGACCTGCCAAGCTATAGGGCCACGTGTTCCCCGAATCGGTTTGGAAAGCCTTCGGGGAACACGTGGGCATCTTGAAGGTCATCTTGGCCGCCTGGAGGCCATTTTGACCTTTTGTGGCCTTCTTGGATGACGTCTTGGAGGGCTCTTAGGCCGTCTTCGAGGCCATCTTGAGCGTCTTGGAGGCCTCTTGGGCCCTCTTGGGGGCCTCGTGGGGCCGTCTTGGGCCTCTTGGGCGATCTTTGGGGACACTTGGGCCGTCTCGGGCCATCTGAAGGCCGAAAAAAAGCAGATGCTACAATCCGTAAAACACTCGTGGGAAATCAATGAGTTTGGCCTTTTCGGGCCTTCCTGGAGGCCCTCTTGGAGGCCTCTTGGGCCGTCTTGGGCCATCTTAGTGCTATCTTCGGCCGTCTTGGTGGGCCCCTGGCCCGTCCGACGCCGTCGGAAGCCGAGCCGACTTGGGGCCCTCTTGGAATGTTCCAGGGCCGTCTTGGTTCCGATAGCTTGGCAGAGCTCTTGCCACAACGCTCGGGCACATGGGCGATTCCGAAAGGCAGGAGGCGGCGGTGATTCCCTGTAGGCGTCTTCGATACACGGGTCGTCCATCGCCTTTACACGCAGACATCGTGCTACCGGCAGGACCGCTGAACAAGGATCGGAGAGGACGATCCTCGGCCGCCAAAGAAGCCAGATCCAAGGAACAGCCCGACAACCAAAGCCCAATGCTGAGCCCAAGGCGGTTCGCATTTCAGCGTCTTGGCTCGCTTCTCGAAGCGGGCAAGCATGACCCAACATACCACAGCGTACCCGGGAGTTTGTCCCTACGAGGTTCCAAGAGAGGACTAACGCAACTGAACTGTCAGAAAGACTTCCACACATCCTGACCGCTACACCCCTACCCCTTGCCTCCCTGACCCTCCTGCGCATCATATCGCTCTCCGTCGTCCTCCTTCGCTGTACCATGCTTGGGCAACCCGTGCGGCCTATCTCAGATTCGCCCCGTCTACCTGTCTGAGGTCGGCGGATGCTGTACGCTTCCGAAGCTGCAAAAAAATAGGTGGACAAGAGTGACCAATCACACGGTATTTGCCAAGCGTGCATGGTCAGCGCATCGATCCCGTGGGCTGAGCATACCCCAGATTCCGTAATAATGGGAGGGGGGTCTCATTTCGGGGGGGGGTCTCTTCCAGGCTATCTTGGAGGGCCTGGGGGGTCTGGGGACGATGTTCTGGAGGGTTCTCCCACGGGGGAGGTCTGAAGTGGCTAGTCTTGGAGGGTCCAGACCCCCTCCCTTTTGTTCCGAACTCTGGAGTAGATGCCTTCGCCGGATCTCGTGGCCCGAGCGCGGCTCCCTCGCCCTCCCCGGCCCCCCTTGGCCGCCCCGCCGCACCCCGGCGCGCCGCTCTCTCCTCCTCCTCCTCCTCCTCCTCCTCCTCCTCCTCCACCTCCTCCTCGTTTTATTACGAGATCTGGAGTACTCAGCAGCAGATGGAAGGCTTGCCGCAGACAGAAGGCGCGAGCCTGGGCCGGGCGCCCCGCGAGGCCGGGGCGCCCGCCGCTGCCCTGCGGAAGGCGCCCGGCGGGCGGGCCGCGCCCCCCCTCCCCCCCCTGCCCCCCCCGCCTCCTCCTCCCCCTCCTCTCCTCCTCCTCCTCCTCCTCCTCCTCCTCCTCCTCCTCCTCCTCCTCCTCCTGCTCCTCCTCCTCCTCCTCCTCCTCCTCCTCCTCCTCCTCCTCCTCCTCCTCCTGCTCCTGCTCCTCCTCCTCCTCCCCCGCCCCCTCCGCCGCACTCTGTCGTGCCGTCTCTGCGTCGTCGCTCCTCTCTCTCTCGTGCCACTGGGCCCCGCTCGGCTGGTTGCGAGTGGCATCGGTCCGAGCGTCCGGGGGGGGGTGCCGAGCGCGACCGTCCTCTCACGTCTGGTGTGGGGGGGGGGGGCAGCTGACGCGCACCCAGTGCCCCCGACAGCAAATCCCACCAGCACCAATGTGGGCGTGCAGCCATGGTGCTGCCACAACGCACGCGATGTACAGGGATCGAAGGGGTGTTCCTGGCCACGGCGAGCCTCAGCCACGAATACACTCCCCGATCTCGAGCTGAGGAACTGCCAGAGAACCGCCTCCCAGCCCTATGTGGTCCTTGTTTCAGCGTCTTGACTGTTCACCCACAGGAATCCCACCAGCTCTCTTGGCGCAGGTGGCTTAGAGTACGAGCTCGTCAAAGACGATATTGGTTCCCCATCGGGGTATCCTGCACCTCTCCCCCTGCCACCTTCCTACCTGGGGTTTCGCGAAGGGTTGGAACGCCCAAGGTGGCAATAGGACTACCTCAGATGACATCCAAGAAGGCCCAACCTGGACCAACTGAGCCTCAATCTGGCTTCAAGAAGGCTCGAGATGGCTCGAGATGGCCGCTGAGCCTCCCAGGACTGCCCCTGATATGCCCAAACCGTACAACAGCCAGGAGATGTCGCATGCTGGTTGCCTTCTTGTCGTTTCGCGTCCGCGGGTTTTCTTGGGCTTCGAGACGAGGGCTTCGAGTTCTTCATTGCTCAAAAAAGGCAACGATAATTGAGGGGTCTCCTTTTCGGTGCCAGTGGCCTCCCGGATGGCTCCCACCCACCCCCGACCCCCAAGGCGCCCCCCCCCTCCCCGACCCTCGCCCAACCGCGGCGGGGAATCGCGCGGCAGCGCAACGTGTCGGGGATGGACAAACCTCCCTTTAGTAAAACGTGGTTTAGTGAAAACGACCTGAGGCCCAAAACTGGCGGGCGCGAGCCTGGAAAATAACGGCCACGGCGCCATCTCGAGAACCGAAAACGGACAATTCACGAATCGACGTGTCACTGTTGGGGGTTCTGTCCACCCCCGAACGTGGTAGAAAGCTACGCGACAACCAAACTAATGACTCTGACTTCACGTTCGACCAGCCACGACACGATGGGCCGAGATGAAAACCGTAGCCCCAGGAGGGTCCGAAGGGCTACCCGAAGAGCCCCAGAAGTGCTCTGCAGTCGGGGCGTTGACCTAAGGAACCCTGAATAAGGAACGAGGCCCCTTTTTTCCATAAGTTCAATTTCGATTTCCTATCGAGAACATCGGAAAACCTGAGGCAAGCTGTGAAACACTCAAGGAACGCGGATCCCCTCCCCAACGAAAAGGGTTCCTTCTTCAGGGCCCCGGCTGTACATGGCAACAAGAGGCCCCGATGAGGCGCTTGAACTTGCGTTGAGTGCGGGGGGACCTTGCCTGTCCCATCGCGTCGGAACTCGCGCCGACCACGCGTCGAATCCGACGGAACACCGTCGTGTGCACGACAGAGAGGCCCCTCGAAGCTGCAGCGTGACCGAAGGGTCCCCGGGAAGGCAACTGCGGGGGGGGCCTGCTCGCGTTGTCCCCAGATTCGGCCTGACTAGATGAACAAGAACTAATGTCTAAGAATCAGGAGGGACAAAAACACGCGCACACACACAACTGATTGTCGATGCACCCGAAAACATGGGAAAGTATGGAAGTGGGGTGAATACGAAAATCCCCCAAACATAAATTAACACGAAAAAATTGGGGATCCGGGGAGTTGTGTATTCACGTGTGTCCCTGGGGTCCATTCAAAGAAGTCCGGGCAGATTTCTTGGATCGGCGACGGGCCCCCCTGGCGGCGCCTCTGGCGCCGCCCCCTGGCGTTCCCCGCGTGCCAGGGAGGAGGGCCCAGAACCGATCCAGGGAATCTGCCTGGACTTCCAAAAGTGAATCAGGGCTGAACAACAGCTTTTTGTGCTGTCGTTTTCGTTTGGTTGTTCGTTCTGCATCGTTTTGCGGTCGCTTCGCCTTGAATGAAAACAAAACGAAGGACAAACCGGCCCACGAGATGGCCAAGACACCCTTTCGGTCCAGCCCTGAAGTGAACTGCGCGCTGGTGCCGCTCAGTGAGCGCGGGGTGGGGTGGATCGGGAGGTGTAGGAGCGGGCCGTCCTTCGCGGCGCGTGCGGTGGGGGGGGAGGTCGCTTGAGCGGGTGGGTTCGGTAGGCGTCGGGGTGCGGGGGGGGGGCGAGGCGGGGATTTATCCATGTCCACCGCCTGGGAACCGACGTCCTGGCGCCCCAGCGGGCG